TTTAGCGAATATTTATTCTACTTTGCATCTTGAATGACCTGCATAGCACATATCTTCACTCTTTTTTATATTAACCCAAGAAAGTACAGCTTTGCACATTGTTCATTCAGTTTCGAAACATTAGTTGAATTGTAGATATCCAGCTTTTGATACAAGATAAGTTGTCTGTACCAACTTACATATTAGCTTACTAAGTACTCGAAATAGTTTTTCTGCATAACCGTAATATGAGACAAAATATTTATCCAAAGCTCGCTAATTTGTTAGTTTCTTGCTTGCTGATTTTGAATAGTTTTGAGCGAGAAAAAAAAACATTATCGAACGATATAGCTTGTTCTGAAATATTTCCTAATGTGTTTCTCCGACCTCATTCAAATTTTCGTGAGGTTAGGAGGACAGAAAGAGTTGATGAACTTCTTAGAACAGTTCTAGCGAAATACCTGTCTTGATTACAAAAAATGAAGTTGATCGAAAATACTCGGCAGTTATTCGAGTCGAGATATGATCTCTTTTTTTCAGAACAGTCCTATTGGTTTATGATATATTCATATCTGTTTTGTTTTCTGCATAGTGTATTATTTGTCAATGAAAGAAATAGAACGATTAATGTCGGCAATGCCTCGTCTTAAACATCTTGAGCTCAATGGTGAAGGTGACGAAGATTTGATTGATGGTCGACGATGGCAAATGGCTATTTCTCATCTATCCACTTTAAAATTCTCGTTTTGGCTGGACTCAGACACCGAAATTAACGCTCTTCAAACATTCGATACCCCATTCTGGCACACAGAAAAGTGCTGGTTTGTGGCATTCGACAAACTCAACTCTGTTTTCTTCACTACACCATGTTATCTCTCCATGAGACATGAATGTTTCAACACGCATTATCTATCAACAGCACCATACATTGAACAACTTGTTGCTGAACACGTTTCCAGATTGCAAATCAACTATTTCAATGCGCAACCACTAACTCATTATTATTCACGTATCAAATCTCTTTGTCTCGAGGGCAACAATATTTCACTTGACGTTCTTCCACTTAATATCAATTTGACGACTGTTGAATATTTGATCATAAGAAACACTTGTTGGTCGTGGTCTTTCATCAAACGTCTTCTCTTACTTATGCCTTCTCTACATAGTCTCGCAGTTGACGAACTTCAACTGTTGTTGGGTGCGAAAATTATGCTTATTTTTGAACAGATTAGTACACTTGAATTGACCAGCTATCATGCTCTACTCGGAACGAAACGAAATGCCAAGGTGCTGTATATTTGTCGTCTCTTTCCACATGTTAAACATTTAAAGATGCGCGTCAATTCGTTTGAGGACATGGCAAATGTGATCGATGGATTCAATCGTTTGACAAGTGCCAAATTTGACTTGAAGTTTTTTTGCAGAGATCCACACACTCCTATCATCACAAAAGAATGGTTTGTTTTGAACACTCGACTAGGACAACTCTCGAAAAATCAAGATTTTACATTTTTCATTGATTCTACTCAGAACTTGTATTTATGGGTAGCATAAATAGTTAACGATCATTCACTTCTCCTTGAAATCAGTTGACTGATACCACCAATCACAATCATATTTCTTGTTACTCTAATAATTTTTGTAAAATAAATCTCGCGATACTTTTTGATGAAGATTTAAGCGAGTTCTTTCAATTGAAATTAATTTAATATGGAGAGAAAATGGTCATCATCGATATGCTCTATCAGCAAACGATTAGTCTCACTATTCACTTTGCTTGCATCGATTTTCTATTATAGTATCAAAAGAAAATGTGTACATTCATCAACGATAATCAAGTAATTGCGCAGAAAATACTTGAAGATGAGAAAATTGATGATCAAAAAAAAATTTTCAAGGATAAATCTCATACGTCTTGACGAGACTGAACTCGATTTTGTTGCTGCTTATGAACATGTCGTTTATGCTTATTCAAATAATCAATAACATCTTTCCTTCATCCATCTGAGTCATAGAAGGATTGTTTGAGAGAATAAAGTACGCCACTGGATCACTCTCGAGAGTATAATCAATGAGGATGTGGGTGTGGGTATTTATCTTTTCTAAATCCATACCCACTCAAAATGTTTTGATTTGTGTGCATTATTTTCTGTTAACATTGAATTATTTTCTCTACTCATTAAATTAATCATTAACGAATTCTAATTCTGATTAGTCAAAATTATTCAGTTTACTTCTAAAACTGGTTACCTTCAACGACTAAATATTGCATAATGGTGAATGGGTGTAACGAAGAAATCCTTCCACAAAATAGTCAAAGTTAGTTCAACAATTCTGAGAAGTTCGAAGAGATTTTCGTGAGACCTTTTTGCTTCATTTAATGAATGGTTTCAGAAAAATTCGACACTGAAATCTAAACACATGTTATACTTGCCATTATTTTCCTCCGTTGTTAGGTGATTGATTAAATTTTCAATAGTTCGGATGTAGAAATTTTATTCCTACGTTTGTCACCCTCTACAACATTTATACGGAAAGATGTGATCTCAATAAATCAAAGTACATTGAGACTCAACCAACCTAACACTATGCTTATCTGAAAGGAAGACCTACACTCAACATAGTAGGCTATTAAGGTTAGTAACAAAATAAATTGATGTTTTCTCATGAACTATAGAATACTTTTATTACGTAAAACAAAGAATAATATTATTGCTATAAGTTTTGTTTACAGAAAAGAAGTCATTCAAATAATAAAGAAAAATTGTACAAATATTTTTTATTCGAGTTCTTCATTTTGTTTTTGTTCAACTAAACGATAAGCATTGAGTTGATATTGAAATTGATCGAAATGCTCTTGACATTTGAATATATGTATATGAAATGGTGAACCATATACATGTTTACCACTCCATTTAACTGATATAAGATAAAGTCCAGATTCAATTGGATTATATCGACATATAATTGTACGATCTTGTAAATGTTTACGTTGCATTTCAACATGAAAACCACCTTTTGGACCACGAATTTTAACAGTTAATTGTCCAGTACCTTATTTTTATTTAATAAATTCAAAATTTTTGAATCTTAGAAAAAAAAAACCAATTTACCTGCTCCTTTTGTTTCACAAAAAAAATGTGATTGAAATGTCGATAAAACACCATGTTCAATACCAGGACCAAATACACGTACTTCACCTAATTCATAAAATAATCATTCTTTTTTTGTTTTTCATTCTATTAGATTTTTAATATACTTACTAGTATTTAGTGCATTGCTCACTTTAACTATATACGGACTACCTGGTACATTTTCACCATTATATTTAATAGTTAATATATGTCTTCCAGATTCTTCTGGTTTAATAAATAATGTATATGTACCATCTCGATGATCAAATAGTCTACAAAATGCTGTTTTATTAATTCCTTGACAATAAACTGTTAATTCTCCTTGAGTAGTAGTACGTGTATCAATTAAACATTTCATTTCTTTTCCTACTGTTCCCGTTCGTAGGCCATCACCTGTACAGATAACTTTTGAAGCTTCATGATTATTATTAATATTTGGCAAAATATTAACTCTAAATGGTGATCCAGGTATTTCTCTTTCGGCCCATATTATACTCAATAAATAATCACCTGAAAATATTACATATCGTTTTTTTTGTTTTTTTTAATAATTATATTGTCAATATTATACCTGGTATGATTGGTTTATAAGAACAACGAAAAATATTTCTATTTTTTTCACTTTGATGAATTCGAACATCAACATCACTCTGTGCACCAATCAATCGTACAATTGGCTTATTCGTACTAGAATTCGAAGTTCGTGAAGTATCAATAGTAAATTCTGCTTCTTCATTAACACGTGCTTCATATGTACCACGACCATGTACTTTTACTTTCGAACGATCGAAAGATATAGAAGTTGATATAATTCGAATAGGCATATTCGGTAATGAATTGTCAGCATATGTCATTGTTAAATCATATTTTCCATCTTGTAAAATAATAAAACTGAGAATAGCTGATGAATCTTGTTGATCAATACGTAATGGTATAGATGCATTTTCTACATCTCGAATATTTGCTTTTAAAATACCTAAATAAGAAATAATTTAGGTTTTTAATTCAATAGAAAAAGAAATGATTTCACCTGGTCCAGCATGAGATGTATCGAAATAAATTTTCTTTTCTTCATTAGTAATAATCCGCATACGATTTTGTGAATCAAGTATTGATTGCCAACCACCAACAATTCGAATACGTTCTAAATATCAATATAGAATAACGCTCAAAATGATTAATGCATGATAAGAGATTGATATAAAAAAAAAAAAATAGCTCAATTTTATAAATCATGACTCAATGGTGAGAAATAAGCTTTTCTCAAGTGAAAAAAATCGAACTCGACAATTACGACAAATCTCCTATAGATTCAAATTCATGGGCTTCCAAAAATTTTTAGTCGATTTTTGATAAAATTCATCTATTTTCTTACAACGATCTTTCGGATTGACATCAGCTCAAGACCACCATAGTTTTTATCATGAGTTCAATGTCGGTTAAAGGAAGTACTGCCAATGTTGCATTCTTACCTCATCCACATTTACAAACAAATGTTATTATAATGATAATAGTTGAAGAATGATAAAAAATTATAGAAAAGTAGCGCATTGTTTTTACTATGACCAGAGTTTTCGTTTGTTTTTGACCAAGGGGGCAGTGGCGTACGCAGCAATTTTTCAAGGGGGGTGGCCGCCATGGCACAAAAAATTTTTTATCACGCGAAAATATTTTTTCCTGTACCGCCATTCAGGACTTTTTCGTCTTAAGAGACCCCCCCCCCCCCTGCGTACGCCACTGCAAGGGGAGAAAAATTTTTTTTCCCAAAGAGAATCTGCTGGGAGAAAACGAAAATATTTTTCCAAAGAGAAAATAGGCTGGAGAAAAACGATAAATTTTTCCAGGGAGACTTTCTCCCAAAATTTTAGGAGGGGGAAATTCCCTCCCTTCGCCCCCCCCCCCCAATCGTATGGCCTCACTATGACTATATATATATAAAGAGAAAGTTTTCTATATAAAAAATAAACTATCTCTGCCACTGATATTAAATTATCTTAAGTAAATAGATATACCTGGATTAGTAACAATTGCTTTGAATGGACTATGCATAATATCTTTTTCATTGCATTTTATACTAATATTAATAAAACCAACTTCAACAGGTATATAAGTTACTTTTAATAAACTATTAGTGATTCGATCAAGTGTATTTTTAATTACAGAATTAGAACCTTATTTAAAAAATAAAAATAAATTCAAAATAAATTTTTTTTTTGTCTCATTTTTACCTTCAATATGAACTTGTAAATCACCTTGTATATCTTTCGTATCAATCATAAATGTTGTTTCTTTTTCATGTAAAGCATGATGAATACCATCTCCATATGCACTTATTATATGAGCATTATTCACCATCATTTGAATAGGAGTACCTTTTTGTTTTGTTTTACAAAAATATGATTAATATTAAAATAGAAATTTTCTTATACCTGGTACAATATCTGAACCAAATTTGACATTTAAAAAATGTATACCAGTTTCAGTTGGTGTAAAGCGTACTTTTCTTATTGTTAATGTATCATCAATTTTGATAGGAACTAGTCAAACCAAAGAAACAATAGATTGTTATAGAACTATTTCTATTCTTACCATTAATACCCGATGATGAAGTAATGATAACTTCAAGTGGTACATTTCCAGCATTATCTAAATTAATTTCCAATGTATTTTCTATTCCCAGAAGAATATCTTTTGGTAATGGACCAATATGCACTTTCGATGGATCATAGATTTCAGTAAAAAATGGACTACCTTGTATAGGTATTTTAGCAAATGTAATATCAATACGATGTTGACCTAATGAAGAAAATCGATTTATGATATTAAATTTGATTTCACATACCAATTTTCTTTGGTGTAAATTCACCCATATAATCACCATTTGCTTGTGAAAATAATTTAACATCGATTGGTTCACCTTTAGGACCTATTTAATAGAACAATAATAAAAAAAAAAATTGTCTAAATCAATAGAAAATATAAAAGTATTCGCTTCATACCAATAACTAATGATCCACCAATAGCATGTAACATAGATCGATTTGGATCAATTAAATTTATTGCTTGTTTATCAATTAAATTTCGTAAAATATTTATAACTTGTTCATTTGTTGGTAATTGTGTTGCAATTTCAAACAATTGAAATGATACTATTGCATAATCTTAATTAAAATAAAATAGTATGACTCAATTATAGACATACAAGAGAAGAAAAGAATCAGAAATATGTTTACATTCCTTCAAAACTAAAACTATCCCAACTGACGATCGTCGTTGTAACATATAACGGGTGACCCAGAATAAATGAAGGTCTCGGTATTTTGACTATAACTTTTTTTCTTTTTGATCTTTAGAGCTGCTTGTTTTACCAAAAGATGCGCCGTGAAATTCTCTACAAAACCATGACTAAAACTTATTTCCGTAGAAAATAAAGAAAAAAAGCTAAATGAATACTATTCAAAACATAAAATGTGCCCAACTTTCAAAGCTAACGGATGTTCTACGAATGACTAGTGTTCGTATCTCTTTTTTTATCCTCCTCTAGTAGACATATTTTAAAAGCAAAGCATACTATAAGATGCAGTGTGAAAAGCTCTACAACTTACAGAGAACAATTTATTTTATATACATGCATCTTTTGTTTTTAAAATATGCAAAATTCTGTGCGACCAAAAAATGATCTGTTTTGCAGAGTAGAAAATTGGTCGCACATAATTCTGATCATTTAGAAAATAATGAGTGCATGCATAAAATAAAGTTCTTAATGTAGCTTGTAGAACTTTTCACGCTGCACCTTATGGTGTAATTTTTTTTTTAAATACACCCTACTTCATAATTAAAAACGGTATACAAATACCAAACATGCATGGGACACTCGCTAGCTTTGAAAATTGGGCACTTTTTATGTTTTGAATAATATTCATTTAGCTTTTTTCCTTTATTTTCTACGGAAATAAGTTTAGTCAAGATTTTGTAGAGAATTTCACGGCGCATCTTTTGGTAAAACAAGCAGCTCTAAAGATCACAAAGAAAAAAAATTATAGTCAAAATACTGAGACTTTCATTTATTCTGGGCCACCCGTTATATGGAATCTAGAAGAACACCTCAGTAAGACTAGCAACATTTTGAAAAGATAGTCTAATGATTCTTAGAATATCCTAAGATCTACTTATAGATCAGATACGAGTTGAAATGTTGGATATCAGTTAAGAGTAGTTCTTTCGCGAGTATAAAACTTAACCAAAACATCTCAAAATTTAACAAACCATTTTTTTCTTCGAGTATTAAATCTCGAATACGTTCTTGTGTAAGTCTTAATTGAGCAGTAAGAAGTATTCTTAATGAAGTTGTCAAAATATCTGATGGAAATTGAAGTAATTGTTCATAAGTTTCAAGTAATTGAAATGAAATTTTTTGCCCAATATCATAACGATTACTAACAGATAGATCTAAACAAGAAGAAAAAAAAAATTTTTTTTTCATTCTAAAAAAATGATATTTCATACTAAATATTTTTGCTTCAATTGGTCCTCGTTGTCCATTACAATGAATACGAAATATACCAAGATCATTTAAACGTAAACGATTAAAACATTCACCAGAAATTTGAACAATTTGTCGCCGATGGACATGTACTGGAAATGGAGATCCTAAAAAAATAGTATTAAATAAGATATATATATATTGTTTTTTTTTTTTTTGCTAATAAAATAATTTTCATACCTTGAATAACTTGATCTCCATTAAATATATTAATAAAATAAAGACCAGGTTCTTGTGGAATAAAATTTATACGAATTAGATTATCATTAATTACTGTCATTGTTGATGGAATTTGAACAGTACCGAGAAGAACAACTGCTCGAATTTGTGAATTAGATAATGATTTAGTATAAACTTTAATTTTCAGAAAAAATTAATTAATCAAATATTTGTTAAATTACATAAAGAAAAAAAAAGATTTTCCTTACTTTGTATTCCACATGGTGTATCTGTTACACCAGAAAGAAGACTCTTTCCGTCAGTATCTTTTACTTCAATAAGATATGGTGAACCTAGAAAACAAAATCAATAAGTAACCATATATGAAATTAAACAGTGAAATAGGAATCTATTAGAATCATTTGAAATCAAATTATAGGAAAAGTTCTAGAATTCATTTTCAATTACAGTATAACACAAAGAAAATGAGATATTACACCAAGCATTGTTGATATTGTCTAGAATTGTTTTTTTTTTTTCTTTTCATTTTTAATTTCCTTGCGTTGTCTATGTCTTTTTTTATAAGTGTCCGATGATTTTTTATTACTACGTGAAGTAGATAACATCATTTTGTTCGTCGTTCCATACTTAAATGATATAACATATACTGTTCATATTACACAGGTCATTATTACTAACGGGATCAGAAAAAGGAAATGTTCCTATACAGAGATTTTACAAATCTTTTTGAACTTATTTTTAGCTATAACATGAAGCGGAGTAATGTCTGATAATTCAACATATTCCCTCATTAGACTATTTTCTGCTTTCTTGTTTATTATTTTCACAATCACGATGATATTTTAAATATTTTCGACTGAAATGAGTATTGTTAACACGTTTTAGTTGTGAATATGTCAACTCAAAAGTAAGTTTGCTTACAGATAATAGGTAATCTATTATGAAATAGATATATTTTATAAGTACCAATCACATAAGGTCGAAATGTAAGATGCCAAATATGTGTATCTTTTGTTTGTTCAAGTTGACAAGGAATAGATATTCTATTACATGATACTTTTGCCTGTATAGATGATTTTTTTGTAATGACTATAAATCAAAAGAAAATTGAAAATTAAATTTGAAAAAAAAAAAAAAACTTAATTACTTTCTAAACAAATATCATCACCAATTCGAGGAATATCATGTGGTAACATTTTTTGTATATCAACAAGTGAAAATGATGATAATAATGATGGTGGTAAAAGTGAATAAACATCTGTATCAATAATTTTTCCTTGTACAAGTTGATTATTAAATAAAATTCGAAGTTGATATCGACCAGGATCATTTGGAATATATTGAATAAGATATTCTTGATTAGTTAATTCATGTAAATGACATTGACAAGGATTAGTTGATGTTTGTGGTGAAATTAATTCAGCTTTTAATTGACCTTGTCCAGCTAGACTTGTATTAACTAGAAAAAAATATCTATATTTTATATTTGATCTAATTATATTAAAGAATTACCTTTATAAGCAACGGTCGTTTTTATAACAACAGGTTCATTATGTTCAGCAATTAATGAAACACCTTGAATATCATATACAGTTATTTCAATAGGTGAACCTATAATAAAATATTGTATAATATATTTGTATGTTTCCTTTACGAAAAAAGTTCACTAATTAATCGTTAGCTTATTACAGTGAAGATACTAAACTTTTACGATATTTTGTAAATGAATATCGTGGTAATAGAAAAATTACTTTGTCGAATCTCGAAAATCAGTTTTCTTAATGTTCCTAAGGAGAATATTGTATACAGTTGAAAAATATCGTAACAAATTCAATAGACCTTAGCGAATGTACGTAGGTATAGATATTTGTTTTCTCTACTCTCATACACGCCCGCCTTGGTTGATTAACACTATCGATTTTATGAAAATATTACTACCGTCAATCCAAGTATTATATGTAGTAATTAGTGAATTAAACAAAGATTTTACGTTCAACATAACTAATTTTCATTATTACAATTTGAAAGACAATATCTTAGGTTTAATTCGAAATTAATATTTATTAGAAGAAAAAACAAAATCTTTCATAATGTTCGAATAAAAAAAATTTAAAAACATTGGGATCATAATCAGAGAATCATAAATTAAGTTCGGATAAACTTCATTGCATCCAAAAATTATTTCAAATACAGCAAATGAAATAAAAATAAAAAAACAAAAATTTCTCAATAAAAGCGCTAATAACATCTATCACTTTTGATTATTAGAATTATCTCCCCGTAGACACAAATGGAAATATATTTTTTATTTTGCAAATGCTTTCTCTCTTGTTTTCATATAACAAAACCATAAACTGATTCTTTCATACTAAATATAAATCGATATGTCGAAGGTTTTAGTAAAGCAAATCGACGTTATCTATGATAATCTATATCCGATCTGAAATAGACACCGTCATAAAATACTCTTTTTTTTTTGTCTTGCACTGGATATAATTTACGTTCGACCCTATCAACAGTGGCGTACGCAGAAATTTTTCAAGG